ATATAATAGAATTGTAGCTCTTGAAAAGATCTATCAAATGGTATATATGAGAATTTTGGTACCTTTAATTTTTCTAATCAAGTATTTATTGAAACATCATAGACAATGAAAAAAAAGGTATATGATAACCATTGTGGTCCTATGATGTACCATGGGCCAAATTTTTTTTTAATTAAAAATATAATGAAATTGTAGCTCTTGAAAAGTGCTATCGAATGAGCTAAATGAGAATTTTGTTACCTTCAACTTTTGCATTGAAAGATTCATTGAAAGATATGGATAAATGACAAAAAATGAGTCATTTTGTTGATAGCTTTGTAGCTTTCGAAATTCGATTAAAACTTCATGAATTTAGCACCAAAACGTTAGTCTCACTTTACTCTCTCGATTAGTATATGGTTCAATGGGTGTAGTCTAGGAAAACACCAATGGGCCGATTCCCTATCTTATGCGCCCCCGTCCTTTATTTTACTCATATCCAGATAAATTATTTACACAAGTAAATCCACCTATGGAAACAAAAACAAATTCAATAGTTTATCAGAGCGAATGTGATTGTGGAGCAATGTATGTAGGTGAAACAAAAATAGGTTCAACAAAACGTATTAAACAACATGAAACACTTATTAAACAAGATGATAAAAAATCAAATTCAGAAATGGCAATACATGCCCATAATAATAAACATCAATGCAAATTTGATACATCGTCAGCAATCATCATAGAAAAAGAAACAAACATTGAGTAACTCGACAAATAAACACGACGTCATTGATCGGATGTGGCTACCGATTATATTAAACAACTCAGAACCAATAAAAAAGAAACTACAACAAAAACGACAATCAATAAAAGAAAAAACAGATGGCGTTGAAAGACAAGACGGTAATAGTGGAACGGAAGGTAAAAATATTTAACAGTATCGTCCAGTATTATCGTCTTGTCTCTCCGTTCCACTATTAGTAAATAGAAAAGAAAAAAGGAAAAACATGTATAGGCAGATCAGTAAATACAAATATGAAAATTTTACTTTAATTTATACAGCAAATTTAAACTGAAGAAGGAGACAGTAGATCTTCGAAAGGTTTTTGTTATAATTTATTAATTAATAAAATATAATTTTTAAACACGAATTTTATAACAACATAATTAATAAATTTATATAGGAAGAGAAACAATAAACTAAACTAACTTTTCAAGGTTATTGCAGTATATGTCTTTTCAAATACTAATCTCAAATCTCAAGTTGTTGTTCTACAGAATTAGATAATATTGGAAATCGACAATACAAACAGCATGTCACTAACTAAATTCGAAGTATGTTTTATATTTTAATGATATACATTGTCTTTGAATAAATCAGATAATTCTTCTTTTCTTATGTTTCTAATGAATTTCCTAATATAAATAGCTAAAAATGTCGGTACTAGTAAACCAGAACCAATGTAAATGGGCCAGTTTATTTCCTGTCTATCTTTGTAAAATGGATTCCCACTGAGGGGTTCATATTTTTTGCCATAAAACAATCCAATTGTAATAATATTCAGTAAAACATTGATCATTACATGTTGACTCAAAATATGATATGTTTCATTACCGATCTTAATCAAAATATCATTATTATGAAGGTGTTGTGAAACATATTTTGCAATGAACATATGAATGTAAATGCCGATAATAGATGTTGCAAAAGGTATCCATATTGGTAGTGGGCCAAATTCGCCAATAAAATGACGGATAGCAAGATTATGTCTATAACAATATTCTAATTGAGATATTGCGATAAATGCGAGACAAAAATTCTTCGTTGTAAACAATAATTTCTGGTACTTTTCAATGTGTGCATGATAAATTGTTCCACAAAAATAAAATAATAAACTGAATGACGTTCGAATTAACGTGAGCTTGAACATACTATGTTTAAGAAGTTGATCAGGGACACGAGGTGTCGTATATGACCAATTAACACAAATAATTGCTAATAATAGAAAGGAAACAAAATAAACCAAATCAATCTTCTTACTGCCATTTTTATTACTATAGATAAGGTGCATAGTAAGTACTACTAGCCATAAATCTGATATAAACCAACTTACACTAAAAGCACAAGTGATACCACCAAATAACGGTTTGAGAATTAGAATAATTGGATATCGTAAGAAGTCGTTCCAATGATCAGTTGTGATTAAACTAATCGAGAAATTCCGTTGTAAAAAGTAGCAAATAAATGTAAGCAAAACATGATATAAAAAATAAGGTAATAATAGTTCTTTAGTTTTTCTTAAACAGTAATGTAATTTTGTACGAATTCCGTCAACTGATTTGAAAAAATAACCAGAAATAAAGAAAAATAATGGTATTACAAATGACAAATGTGGATATCCAAATATCGACGGTAAGTAGTAATGAACACCAAGAACATATATAATACCAATTGCTTTTAACAAGTCCATTTCTTTGTTCCTCATGTTCATGAAAAATCTGTAAAAAAAATTTTTGACCAGTCCCTTAAAGATCAAAATGTGGGACACAATCAGGCTATTTCTATCTTGCACGAGAAGTCCTATGCAACTGAAGGAGATTTTTTGACATATCTGTCACAATCTACAAGGCAGAGTAAGAAAGATTACGTTTTTGCTAAAACTTCCACACTCATTAACAAATATATTTTACAAAAGCATGATAGACAACTGATGTTGTCGGCTAATTTCTTTTGCGAAACTCACATATAAAATATGTAGCTGAATTTTCGAAGGTGGAGTTATGTTTTTTTGTTATTCTTTCCTTATAGACATTTGCTCTTACCGATAAAGATAAAAGAGAAAAAAAATCAAAGAACACTAAGTGGACTATGAAAATCACTCATTAATTCATGCTATTATTTCAGACTTCAACATGGTATATGATAATATACCAGTAAAGCTAACAACGAAACTAAAAGAAAAAAGTCTAATATAATATTTACTCCTTTCGTATTTATTCTCACAACACTACATTTGGTCTACAAAAGCTGCCTAGTATTGTGTTGGCCACACTAAATATCACAAGAAGTGACAGCTGATGTTCCAGTCCGCGTCAACAAGAAGTTAGTGCTTATAATAGACTGATCTTATACACAAGGATGTATCTTAAGAAATATTTGTTAAAACTGATGATCAAGTATAATATCACCCAATGTGGCATTACTCCATGATATTGACCGTAAATTACATGGGAAAAGAGTTATAGTGTTGTCGCAAGACAATAGAAAAATGGACGAGACTAAAATATGAAGTAGAAAGTTCAAAATACATTCCAATGTTTGATCCGAGACTAAGTTATTCCGTTTTCTTAGTGTATATATAAAATACATCTGACTAAGATGTTTACCATCTAAACCTCTCAATCGTTGTTGATGTGATTATATGTCAATACTAGTGATAGATTAAACAAATATAACATCGAATGGTAAAGAGAATCATCATCGGTCAATTTAAGAACATGTAGAATATTCTGTGATAAGGAATATCTGATGATTTCGTTATAATTGCTTAGAATAAATAAAAACAGTATAAAAATAGTTATCATCAAATAATATCCAAGGCTCATTCAAATCGAAGAAGCATAGATAAATGCATTAACTATGAATCTAAACGAAAGCAAAAAAACTAAACAAAAATTTGAGTAATGCACATTTTTATCTCTCATTTACTACAGTGATCACTCAAGCATTGATCACCTTTCTTTTAGCTTAACGAAAAAAATAAGCAAGCAATCAGAGAGAAGAGTCCATAGGCAAAGCTTTTTTCTCGCCATACATATAACGAACGTTACCTGTAATTAGTCTATAAAGAAGAAAGAAGGAAGATACATTAGCCAGCTCTTTTATTGTAACGAAACACATGAAGACAATAAGATGTCGCTAGGTAGTGGAACGACTAACCTATGTTTCCTTTTATACACTGATAAAAAAAAGCGTAGAATGATAAACCTTTAAAAGGTTTATCAGGATGCAACAGATAATATACCCTTTTCTACCATTTATCAAAATGTGCTAAACCATTTTATCTGCCCCTAAAAGATGTGAGGAATAGGTAGGGGCGTAACCAGAAAATTCTCGTAGGGGGGGGGGGGGCTCTGCCCCCCACTTTTGTGGAGTTGAAGAACAAGAAGTTGAGCAGTACTTGAGAATGCAATGGAAATAATAATAAAGTTCAAAAATGTTCAAATCTTTATTACCAACAAAATAATAATAAATTAAGCAACAGTACAATACAAGAAAAAACTATCGCAATAAAATTCTACTATTATTATGATTAACCGCAAATTGATCAATGACTTGTTCAAAATCTATATTAAAATCACGTTCAATTGATAAGATACAAAGATCGCTTAATCGTTCATCTGTCATAGTTGTCCTTATGTGTGTTTTGATTAACTTCATCTTTGAAAATGCACGCTCGCACGTGCATGATGATACAGGAATAGTCAGTGCAGCTTTGATCATTAACATCATATTTGAAAATGCTTCTTGTAATGGAATCATTTCATGATATAATTCATTGACGCTTGACAATTTTTTGTTTTGAAGCATTGGTTGTAAGACTTGCAATTCATTAAACAAATGATTTTGATCACAATTAATATGTGAAGCTAAGGGTAATAATTGGTCATAATTTAAAAAAGACTTGCTTTGTGGAGACATTGATGATACACTCGATAATACAGCAAGATTTGACGGTGAAAAACGATCACGCATTTCCACTAGGATTGCATCAATTAATGGAAACTATATATTTTCATAATAATCAGCTTCAGTTAAAAATTCTTTTCGATGTCCCATTGTACTTGTTATAAATGCATCTTTAAAACGAGTTGGTATTGTATTTGATCGTCGGTGTTTTGATTTGCGGTTCATATCGATACCATGTTTGTTAGCAAAATCCAAAACAGCCGAATAAATACTTTTAAATGATGTATCATTTCGCTCATTTTGAAGCTGGTCAATTACTGATAAAGTTAAAAATTGACTTTCAGCATAATCAAGTGATTCGCCTATAATAATTAAAAACGTCATTTGAAGTAAAATATCTTCCTGTGAAAATATATTGCATTTTTGCTTACTTTTCAATTGATCTGATAAAACTTTGATTGAACCAAACAATTTGTTTAATATCACCATTGTAACAATAAAAAGCGGTTCCTGTATAGCTGATAATATACCTCTTGCATCAATGCAACGATGATCGCCTTCTTCAATAAGATCATTTAATGCAACAACAATTGATTCATAATTAAGCATAATAGCATTAACTGAACTCCACCGTGAGTCCCATCGAATATCTGACCACGTTTTTAACTTTGAAGAAGTAGCTATTAAGAAAAAGGTAGTATATAATAAAAGTTACTATGATTCTTAAAGAACAAACATACCTAAGGCTAATTTTTCTTGTGCTTGTTGATAATATTCATTTGTTACTGATGAAGAAATAAAATAAGAATGAACCTTTGAAATAATTTGATAAAATTCATTAATGTATTTAATAACTTTACTAACATCGACGATCACAAGGTTCAATCGGTGTGCATGACAATGTATATAAATGCCTTGAGGCATATGACTTTGACGAAGAATTGTTTGCACGCCGGCACATTTGCCGGACATCACTGATGCTCTAAAATAAATTAACATATACAGTGGAATTCTTCAGAAAGTTATGTGTAACAATAGATTCTTACCCATCATAACATTGTGCAATACATGAGTGTAATTCAATACCGTATTTTATTAAATAATCAGCAATCATTTTCGATAAACTTTGAGCATCAAATTCATGTAATCGAATTAATCCGATAAAATATTCTTGAATAATATCTTTATTGTCATTTGTAGGTACTACGACTCGTATCACAATAGAAAGCTGTTCATTACCACCACTATCACGACTTTCATCAGCTAACAGCGCAAACATTTTTCCTTTAATCTACAGTGAAAAAAACCTGTTAACTAAAACACTGATTTGTCGAATATAAAATAATTACCTTTTCTGTTATTTGACGTCTAACTTGGTCAGCCATAATTTTAATTAATTCGTTTTGAATTATTGGTGAAAGATATGTCGAATTTCCTGTGATATCTTCAAAGATTGATTTGACAATTGGATCAGTTGAAGAAGCCCATTTAAGGATTTCAATAAAATTTCCTTTATTTGAAGAACTATATAAAAAGTAATATTTGATAAAATAAATTCATATTTATAAAAAAGAATATAATATCAGTGCGCTTACCTTTCTCTTTCATCATGTCCACGTATTCCAATTGCTTGTCTGGAACATAATAACAATGCTGATGCAATTTTTATTAAACGAAGACGATTTCGCCGTATTTGTTCAATTCGACCTTTGTCTATCATATTAATAACATTGGATTGTGATTGTTTTCGTTGCTGATAAAGTGTATAGTTGCTTGCTGCTAATATGTGGCCAAGACTTTTCAGATGTTGATCAAAACCTTTAGATTTGTCAAGTGCTTTTTTCCAATTCTTAAGCCCATTATTGATGAATGCATCAGTTTGTGGTTTTTTATTGGATGATGATGTCGGTGCAACAAAATGTCGACAGTAATAACAGTAAGTACTATTTTTTTCAATTGAATATTCTAACCATGGTCTTCCTTCATACCATTTTGACATGAAAGATCTGTTTTCATGATTTTTTGGATATGAGATGAGTTTCGGTTGAGCAGGCGGATTTTCACCTGAACGGCTAATATCAATAGTATCACCAGTTGTTTCGTTGTTGATTTCTTCTTCATATTGAACGTTTTGTTGATTTTCATTACTAATATTTTCATGAGTGTTAATTAAAGAAATTTTAACTGGTTCATTATCAATAACACGAGATGGTTGTGAATCAAATGATTGTAAAACAACATTTTGATTGTCAGCATCATTAGATTGTTTATGAGAAGAATTGTGCTTTTTCTGAGTTGACGAAAAGTAGAAATCAAGAGTTTTCCTTTTATTATTACTCATGAGTCAACGTAATATGTTGTGTGCAGAAATGAGCTTATCTTTTACAACATATGTGCAGAAACATTCATGATATGATATGTGTATGTAATTAAATTACGCATTCCGTTTTTATCGTTTTATTTTTTGAAGATATTGCTTTCTCTGAATTACATTAATTAATAGATGTTTGATCGTCATGTGTCAAAAAATTCAAAGAACAAGCGTATACTACCCATGTAGCCAATAATGTAAAATAATGGACATTATTTTACATTATTTTTGATAAATAATTTACGTAATATAATTATAATGCAATCTTTTTAATGCATTAAAATGCATTAAAATACATTATTTAAAAAATAATGCATTAAAATGCATTAAAACACATTATTTAAAAAATAATGCATTAAAATGCATTGATTTTGAACGAATCTTCGAAAATTTTATCATTATTTCTTTGCGATGCATTGCAATGTATTAAAAATGTGCGGAAAAATGCATTATAATTAATTAAGAGCCTGCAGAACTCCAATACATTATAATGCATTTTTTTCTCAAATTTTTCATGCATTGTAATGCATTTCAAAGAAATAATGATAAAATTTTCGAAGATTCGTTCAAAACCAATGCATTTTAATGCATTATTTTTCAAATAATGCCTTTTAATGCACGAAAAAGGTTGCATTATAATTACATTACGTACATTATTTATCAAAAATAATGTAAAATAATGTCCATTATTTTACATTATTGGCTACATGGATGATGGTATCTTTTTTATTTTGTTAGAGAAGATATTGTATATAATAATGCATTCTTTATATAACCTTTATATGCACATCAAAATTACAAACACAAACATAAAAAAGTTTCGAAATAAAAAATTTTTGTAGGGGGGGCTATGTTCTCCGTAGGGGGGGCTCAGCTCTCCCTAGCCCCCATCTGGTTACGCTACTACCCACATGTCTGATCATATACCATAACCTTTAGGTGCTTGAGTTGCATCAATTCTTTCAGGCTGAAGAATAAAAAAAAGTAATATACATTATAAAAACTTTTAATATACAACTAAATAAACTTGTGTTCCTTTCATCATTGTATGTGCAACTGAATTTGTTAATTGACTAAATATACCAAAATCATAAAGTTTAAATGTAATACGATCTTGTTTAACTAAAATATTCAATAGTTTAACATCACGATGAAGT